GGTAGGCAGGCAGCCGCTTCTGAGTGCAGGAGCCACAGGGTCCAAAGCCTGCCGTCTGTCCACCGAGGAGATTTAAAAGCCCAGGCCCAGGCCCAGCAGGTGGACGGTGGCGAAGGTGACAGATTCTCACGCAGCTGACCAGGGTCCAGCCCGCAGATCCAGGGGCTTGAAACTCAGGCCAGGCCCGTGTGTGTGCCCGACAGCATGAGAAGACCACGGGCGAAGTGTGCGGTGGCCACCGCCCCGGTGGGTCATCTCTCACTGTCTCTCCGACTCTCTGGCGAGTGTGTGCCTTGGGGCAAAACCCTTCTTTATTTTCAGGCACCCGCCTCACTGTGGCCAGTCCTCACGGACTGCCACACCCACGCAGACACACGTGAGTGCCACAGCCCGGACATCGTGCTAACCCACCCACCCTGGCTGGTCTGGGTTGCCAAACAGGCTCGGGGACAGGTCCCCGCAGGCCCCTGACCCAGCTGCCGTGGCTTCTGCCCGCGGTGCGCAGCCCAGGGCGGTGCAGCCAGCCAGGCTGAGGACGTGGGCGCCGTCTCCCGGCGGGACCGTCAGCACACACCTGCCAGCGCCATGGCCTCACTAGCGCAGCTGGTGACCTCTGGGATGTCTGGCCTGTCAGGGGATGTGGTGTGCATTCAGGCCACACCCGGATGACAACGCTGGACCCTGACACCGCCCCCCTCCGCTACCCCGCACACCCTGGCCGAGTCCTTGGGAAGGCAAGAGCACCCTCCCCTCCTGTGACTTTAATTTCCTTAGTTTTCATCACTTTCAGAGTCAAGCCTTTATGTTTTCTTTCTTTTTTTCCCCCGCTATAGGGCGCGTGTGCTCGCTAGACAGACAGAGAGAAACATAGAGACAAAAAGCAAGAAATCACCCCCCGGGGGGATGGCCACGCCACAATCCCTTCTCCATTCTCCTCTTGGGATCTTGGGCACGCACGGACATGCACCTGGCATGAGTTTTAAGCCATCGGGTCCGGGACACGAACCGCGGTCGACTACGTGGGAGTCCAGCGACATAGCCATTACGCTAACTGCTGGTCCCTCCTTTTTTTTTTAAAGAGAAATTTTTGCTAAAAGGTGCATGTGCTCGCCAGAGAGAAGAGAGAGGAAGACCAAAGGCAATAAGCCACCCAGGGGTGGCCATGCCACAATCCCTTCTGCTCCATTCTCCTCTTGGGCTCTTGGGCACGCACAGTGTGAGTTTTAAGCCAGCAGGCCTGGGACTTGAACCCTGACTAACTGTGTAGGAGTCCAGAGCTGTAATCACAGCGCTGTATCCTGGCCCTAAAACACCGTCCTTTACAGCCAGTGCCTTGTGTCCACGCTCGGAAACCTTGGCTGACCCTAAGGTTGCAAAGGCTCCCCGTGTCCCCTTCCGGGACTTCCGGCTTTGGCTTTTATGTTCAGATTGCACAGGGGGACGTAATGGCCAAGAGCCGCCCTTTACCGAAGAGATAGCCTGCTAACCCAGCAGGGGTTTTTGGAAAAACAAGAAACTATCCTATGCCCTGGAGGTCCCTGGGCAAGTCTGCCAAAGGCCCATCACTGCCTGCACTGGGGTCTGCTCCGACCTGCATCTGCCCCACGGCCACAGCTCTGCGGTGATCTTGGAATCAGGGAGGCTAAGTCCTCTCAGCGACTCTGGCCTTCGAACTCTTGCTTTCCCAGGAAATACCAGAACCAGTTTGTCAGCCGTGAGGTGCTGCTCCTCCTGAGCCTGGGCCTTGCACTCGCAGAGGCTCTCTGGGTGGCTTGCACAGGTAGCCTGTCGACTCGTGAACAAACACAGCAAACCTCACCAGCTCAGGAACCACTGCTCCGCTCTGGCACGAACACCCACCACGGGCTTCTCGATGGCTCCCTCCCGCCAGACTTCAGCCCACCTGGCTCCCTCCACGGCGACCACTCAGCCCCATATCAACCAGTGTGCTCTCTCCGGCACCCTCTCAAGTGGCCCCTGCTGGGCTCCACCTGTCTGCTCAGCCCCATCCCTACCGGCCACTGAGCTCTGCTTCCCTTCCTCCCAACAGTCATAACACTGCAGACAGAAGCTGGCCTCAGTCCGGGCTGCAGCCCAGCACAGTGGGTCCTCAACAAGCACCCGTCCCGAGAGCGAGCGATGGAGACAGCATGGCAGCAGTACACGTGCAAGCACCAGGTGTGGCACGTGAGCCATGACTCTCGGCCAACGTGAAACGGCGCAGGGGCGCGAAGGCATGTGTGAGGCTGGAGCGCTCAGCCCGTGCTGTCTGCACCCTCCTGCCCTGACGCAGGAGCAGTCAGGGCCTGGGAGGACTGGCTGGGAGCCTACCTAGGCCAAGTCCTGAGCCCTCGACAGGGACAGAGGCAGGCACTCCCTGCACACCTGCTGCCTTGTGGCCCCAAGTGGGGGTGTGCTGACCCTCCACACGCAGGGACGCTCCCGGGTGTCAGGAACCAGCCCCCAGGCCTGTCCTCACCTTGGGGTCCAGTAGGTAATTGTACGGCATGAAGATGAGGTCGGCCTGCTGCTTCCGGTTCCGGGACAGGTAGTAGGGGCACACCCTGTGGGTGAGGGCAGAGCAGACGGGAGCCCCATGCAGGGACACAGTGGGGAGGGCAGAGCAGATGGGGTGAGCCCCACGCAGAGTCACAGAGGTGAGGGCTGGGGGATGAGGGGAGCCCCATGCAGGGACACAGGGGTGCAGCTACATCCTTGGGCAAGGACTGGGGTACAGGGTGAGCCCCATGCACCCCACACAGGGACACAGGAGTGAGGACTCGGGGATGGGGTGGCACGGGGCTGGGGCACCCTGGTGGGAGTGATGCAGGGCGAGGCGGGGGATCTACAAGCGTTTTCAACCACGTGAAAGTGCTGCCTGCTCTAGAGCCCTGTGAGAACAAGCAAGACAAGGCCCACCCAGCCCTCGACCGCGGGTGCCGAAGCAGAGCAGAGCCAAGTGCTCAGGAGGCGGCGCCGCCTCTCGGCTGTCTTCCTCATCACAGCCCGGAACCTGAGGCTGCGAGAGCTCAGCACGTGGACCCCTCGAAGCACGGAAAGCTGCCCACAACAGGAAGGGGCCCCGAGGAGAGGGAGCTGCAGGGGAGACTAGAACCCCGAGTTTGTACACCACACGGGCGTCCACGGGGTCCCAGGACAGGCAGGGGCTGTGGGGAGGCAGCTTCTCTCGAGGACATGCTCCTCAGAACCGCTACCGTGCCCCCACGCCAGACACAACCTCGTCTGAGCTCACCTGTGCTGGCTCCCACTCCTGACCAGGTCCTCGATGTCCAGGATGGGGCTGCTCAGCTCTTGCTCCTGACTCCACTCTGTGAACGCACGCCCGTCAGCATGGCACCTGCCTCAGCTCGCTGCGGGCCAACGCGGGACGCCCCCGAGAACTGCTCCTGTGTGGTCGCCCACCACCTCTGTCTGGCCGGTCGTGGGTCCGCAGGAGAGGTCCCAGGCGAAGTGACCTTGTGGGAGCCCTGCTCTACACCCCAAAAGGCAGGCGCTGGCCCTGTCCCAAGGCTCCTCCTGGAGCACAGGGGCCGAGCGGCCCCCAGTCTGTCCTGTCACAGCAAGCCTGTGCGTGTCCACACCACCCCTGCCCACACCTGCCAACTCCACAGACCTGGGGTCCCACCTGACCAGGATCTGAGCCGCCACCCAGCCTGTGCCGAAACCCAGTGGTGCCTGGCCTTGCTCCTCTGGCTCACGAGCAGAGCATGGCCGCCCTCCCTCAGGATGGCAGCAGGGGGACAGGTACGACCGTGGGCTGCGAGGCCAGCACAGGAAGGCCCTCGAGGAACTGCGATGGGGCTCTTGCCCTTTCCTTGCCCCCACGCAGCCCCCATACTGGAGCCACAGAGACCCCCTGGGACTGAGCACAGCGAACCTCCTCGGCCTGTCCTGGCAGGACTGGGCCTCTTCCAACCCCTAACCCTAAGGCACGGCCCCATCAGGTGCCCTCAGGGGCAGGACTGAAGCCCAGCCGTGAACTGCAGAGGCCGGAACACGGCACTCAGTGACCAGTGCAGTGACCTCAAAGCCCCTGGGGATAGCAGAGGCAGGACAGGAAAAGCAGGCAGCACCATAGCAACAGGCCAGACAATCGGCGGGCTCCACAGAGCCAGGCCCTCCAGCCTTCTTGGGCAGAGCCTGGCTAGGGAGGGGCTCATCTTCCCAGCAGCCCAGGGCTGGCCCTGCAGGCTCACCCTCCAGCTCTCCTCACTTGGCCGCAACACAAGCCTCCCCACCCTCGCAGACACCCTGGGGCCGCAGCCCACTGCAGACTGAAACGCCCACCAGGAGCAGAAAGCGGCTCACAGCCAGTGGTCCCAAGTGCACTGGGTGGCCAGACCCAGAGCCAAGGTGGGGCTGGGAGCTGAGCCACAAGCCTGGTCAGAGCCGGCAGGCAAGCCAGTGGGGAAGGCTCCTCCCTCTGCCAGCATCCATGGGCTCCCCTGAATCCAGCCGTTCCCGACTCCCAGCCACCTCTGCTAGGGCCTCCAGGCAGAGGCTGGGGCAGCACAGCAAGCACCTCATTGGCCACTCAGGGAAGCTGGCAGGGCCCTCTCCCCCACCCCATCTCCTTGGCCAGGGCTGTGGGCAGCACAAGTGGCCACGGAGTGGACAGGGGAAGACCCATCAGATAAGCACAGGTGTGGCAGGGGCTCGGCCAGGGCATGGCCAGGATGGGAGGGAGTGAGCAGATGGGGAAAGGTGCGACCCGGAGTGCTGATGCAGCTGGGAGAAGCACCACAAGGCCGTCTGCAACGGCCGCCCGGCCAGCATGGCAGCCACAGGCCACAGTGACTGTCCCTGTCCTTGCCCCAGCTTCATGCGCGCCGGTCCAGACCCCACTCTATCCTGGAAAGCTGGGCATGGGCGGAGGGAGTGAGAGCCATGCAGGATTCCCGAGTGCACATCTGGACACCAGAAGAGACACCCAGCGGTGCCGTGCAGGACGCGTGGGGTGAGGTCAGAGGCCAGAGGCCCTGCCCAGTGGGGCCTGAGCCCCCGCAGCGTATTTCCCCGGAGCTGGTCACACAGCGGCTCACCGCCTACGTTTGCCAAAAGCAGGCTTCCAGAGGGGATGTGTGCCCAACATGTGCCCGGCTGCTGGCACAGACGCTGGGACCCTTGTCAGAAGTGGTGGAGCCCCAGCAAACGCAGCAGGAGAGCCAGCCCCATCAGCGGCTTCCTCAGGCCACCATGAGGTCCCTGCAGTCAGAGTGCGGGAGACCTGGGCGGAAGAACAGGACTCTCACCCTCTACGTTGTTGTAGAAGTGACAGGAGCGACTTGCCACCTTCCTGCGGCACAGATGGATCTGCAAGAGGAAGGCAAGCACCAGGCTGGAGTGGAGCCGCACCTGCCACTCCTGCCGGAGGTGCACTCCCCCAGCTGGGACCCAGGGCAGGGTCCGCACCTGCACGTGGCTACTCTCCTGCCTCTTCACCTCGGGGTGGATGCACAGCTGCTCCCGGGAGCCCAGCACACACACCTTGGGCCTGGGGGAGAGAGGGTAGGGGTCGGGATCTGCATCCACAGATGGTGCACCTGTGGCCCGACAGCAGCACCAACCACATGCAGACACAGGAAGCCTGGTGGCCCGGGGAGCAGCTGCAGCTGCCATGTGACTGTGCCAGGGAGGGGCAGGAAGACAGGGTTGGGGACACTGGACGGGATGACAGCCTCCACGGCAACAACGCGATCTCCATATGCACGCTTTGCTCAGAGCCAGCGCAGGATAATGGGACATGCCAGGTGCCGACTTCACAGGGAAGGGACTCGGGCCAGTCCTGCCACGCTGCAGCCGACCAGTGTCTGCAAGGAGCTCAGCGGGCCAGCCCCAGGTCAACAGCTGCTGCTGGAGGTGCTCCCAGGGGCGGCGTGGTCCTCGCTGTCCTCTGAACCCTGGAGCACCTCACAGCTCCCAGTTCGGGGGCCCGGGGAGAGCGGCACCCCCCCCCCCACCATGCA